GCAAAGTAATGGATAATGAACCGCTATGTCATATTGGTCCTCCTATATAGTAACGCATGCTGAACAATCTCCTCACAAATGAAGAAGAGACATATGGCAACAGAAATGTAGTTCTACAGAAAGATGATGAGAATACCATGAACTGGATATGTGAGTAATGTGGAAGTTTTAAGGAAAAAGAAGCAGAAATATGCTTATGCTTAAAATAAGAAAGCGAAAATTGAAAATTCTAGGGTATATGAGAAAATAGGCCTTGGAGAATTTTGTACTCACGGGATATATTTAAGGCAAGACAAAGGGATCCATCGAGTAACATATCTGGTAAGCATGTGCAGATGGTTGGCAGAAAATGGATTAGGAGGTACAGTATAAAAATTAAGAGTGACAAAAGGTAGGATATTTTGCGGAAAGCGAAGACTGTCAAGTCTTGAATGGAAATGTCACATAGAAGAACATCAGGTTTTGCCGTTATCAAGTAACTAATATTACGCCCTCGAAATCCCTTGAGTCTGTCCTCACCAAGCAATACCTATAATTCTGGAGGGAGGTATTGTCATTGCCTAGTGCCTGAGGCGTCCAAAAATGGAAGTGCCGAGGTGGCGGGGGGACTTGTGGAGCTATATTTGTCCCCAGTCCATGTAAGCAGAGGCTCCCAACTCACTTTAAGCTCGACCATGTTTCACATTCTGCTCGAGTGAACGTGAGGTTAAATATCTATACGTTACAGTGTAACCCGGATATAAGAGACCCGAATATAAGAGAAACCCAGATATAAGAGAGATTTTCTCTGGTCCCAAATTAGAGCCCATACTTACCTAAACAAAATAGACCAAACCCGGATATAAGAGAAACCCGGATATAAGAGAAACCCGGATATAAGAGAAACCCGGATATAAGAGAAACCCGGATATAAGAGGTCCCGTCAACTCTCTTATATCCGGGTTACACTGTATTTGTAATCGTTTTCATGTTGTTTACGAAGATGACGCAGGATGCGATATCAACCTAAAGGTTTTTGAAAAAAAAAATTTTTTTTTAAAATAATCGAACATTATACTGACAATGTGAAATCTTTTTTTTCTTTTTTTTTTTTATATAGAATGATTGCGGAAAGCTGAAATAAATGCGACATATTATACCATTTTTTGTTTTGTTTTTGTCGTTGTTAATAATTATTTGTCCGTCCAGGAGCTGTAAAATCTAGCTTAATTCATTTTCTGTGACGACAGATGGAAGCCATATGTGAAAGTGTAAAAAAAAGGCTTTGATGCTAGTTATCACAAGGCTATAAAACCAGAAAATGTGATCTGAAATCAGAACAAAGCGACTACGTTCAGCTTATAAAATACGAGATAAGCACGAATTAAAAGTTGCTGGTACTTGTGGGTTATCTGTCTCCACAGTTGAAATTAATTTTCAAACTTTTTCACAAATACAGATGTGAAAAATATATTATCACAAAAATTCATTTAGCAGTCTGAACAAATGAAAAAAATAAAATTAATTAATTAGAAAAAAACATTTTAAATACCACATCTAACATTATTTTAAACAAGATTTTAAATACATAAATTTTTCTAACAAGATTTTAAATACATAAATTAAAGGGTGGCGTCTAGTGACCCACAAGAAACCCATTTTAAAAATGACGAAAGAGAAATGTCACCACGATAAGATACAATAATTCAAATAAAGTAAGCATTTTCTAAATCTCCATGTTTCCGCTCGTTTAAAGCAGCTAATGTGTTAGGGTTAAGACACCGTGGAGTAATGGATAACATTGGATTGAGGAATCCCAGTCGAATCCATTACATTCACTTACGTACTAATACCCTTGGGAAAGATATGAATCCTCTTCTTCTCGTCCCAGCTATGGGTAAATAGCAGGACAGGACTGGTTCTATAGCCTTGGATGGCAACTCGTCTAGCGCAGAAAAAAATGGCAACCTACTGCGGGAAAAAAAAATCTGTCTCGTCAGTTATTTATCGAAAGATACATGATCGCCTAAGCGTGTATCACGCATGGCACATAACTAACTAGGTTTAGAACAGTGAACTAGTTATGTATTAAAAATCACTGGTTATATATAAAAAAAACTATTCTTTATACAAAAAAAGAAATCATGTAAATAGTGATTTTAATGTTTGTAAACCGATTTGATGTCGCTGAAAAAACAATAAACAGGTCATCGTATCTTTCTCATCGTTTTCCAGCAATAATGAGTGCATCGTCATTTACGGTAGGTCGCAAGTGCCTCGATAGATATCATACTGTGTAGTAGAACCTATTACAGTTTACACTAACCTATATATATATTATATATATATATATATATATATATATATATATATATATATAGTTTATGCAAAACTAGGTAAACCGTATGGGTAGACCCAAGGAGGATGATATCCAGAGAGCTCAATGTAAATTCAGAGCAAATATGTTTGAATAAAAACAGACCACTTTAAGGTTCCATGTAATAAATTATTTCACCACAACCCTTTTAAAGGGCTCTGGATCATCAGACTTTACTTCCAAAAGTTGAAAAAAAAATTTTTTTCAACCTTAAAGTGATCTTTTTTATTCAATATATATATATATATATATATATATATATATATATATATATATATATATATATATATATATATATATATATATATGAGACAAAGAATAATACCTAAAAAAGTTTGTAATAATCATCCTCCCTTTGCCTTCTCTTACCTCCACTTTCGAGATCCCACTTCTCATTTGGCTTCCTTTCTTTATCAATTCGCTACCCCTTCCATCCGGAACTGGGAAAAGGAGGATACATGCCCTTTTCAAAAACATTAGCTCGAACTGCACGAAATAGAATCGACCGGAATTTGAACTCATCTCGCTTATACCACTTTTTCCGCCGATAACGGTTACTTTATCTGCTCCTCTTGAGAGCGTATTATACACGAGCAATTACTACTGGAAGTAGAAATGAAGAGAAAAAAAGAAAACAAACATTAGATCAGCACTTCTCAATCGGTGCGCAATAATATGTACTGGAAGGTGCGCCGAAGTTAACAGAAGAATAATTTAGGACTTATTTTTTTTTGTATTTGAAACAAATCTTAATTTTTAAAAAGCTAGAGACACCAAATACATGGCTTCCATATTTGAATCAAGTCTTTGTCATTAGACATTTTAAAGTGAATGCTAGATTCATTAATCTTTAAGAAGAAATTGATAATCCTTTTCCTTTAGCCTTCCTCAAGGGATTTAAATCCTGTCATTATCGGCCTCACTAAAAAATAAAAATAGCAGATTCTTCATAAATCCCTTGAAATGAAAACTGTACCGCTGTGCTAAATGTAATGTCTTTATTTTCCTATCTTCAAATTTCATGACTATTTTTCCTTATTAAATTTTCGTTATTGTAAAAGTGCGCTTCAGAGTAAAAAATGTTTGAGAAACACGGTATTTGAGTAATGCTTATCAATCTCTTGCAGACATACTGTAGTGTAGTTAGTCTGGTGTTTGCAGGTTTTCCCATATGTACGAAACTCTCCTGAACGAAGCAAGTTTAGTAAATACAGATAATTCAAATGTTTATAACAATATCTAAACAAAATCTGTACCGTTCTAGAAAAATATCTGGTTTCTCCTGAATCGCCTTATTCCTACAAGAGTAGGATCACGCCAGAAGTGGACTATTGTCGCAATATCTGGCCTGATGTTGGCCAATCCCCACAATCCAGCGTCTTGGGTATGACGATAAACTACATCCTTGTCCTGGGTAAAGCCTCTGATCAGGAGGTTTTGAGGTGCGTGAAACCACCTCTTAATTGCTGGTGTTACCAGGTTCACCATGACCCAAGGTGGTAGCACCTGTTAGGGTTCCGTCTATGGGCAATAGTTAACCCCCCAAACTGGGGTCAAAGCTCTATGAAAGTGTAAAAATAGGTTTTAATACCAACAATACATTTTTGTAAAAAAATTTTACCAGCAACGAATTTTGAAAAAAGAATTATTACCAGTAGTAATTTTTTGAAAAATATTACCAGCAATAAAAAAAAAACAACCTTTTCGGCATTAAATAACCCGTATACCGTAAAACAAACCAAACCAAACCCCAGTTTCCAGCGTTGACAAAGTTCAAAACCGTTTACGCGGCCTTGTGGGTGATGGATTGTTTTCAGCTCTACAGCCCCTTTCCTATAGATGAAACGTCGCAACTCTTTCGCTATGTAAATGATAAGACGAGTTACAGTTCTTCGTTCCACCAGTTCAGAGCCTTATAGCTAGTACCACCAGACCACATATACAGTGTCGGGTCATTTTCATTCTCTTCGTATTTCATTAATAAAAAGGATGCTATTTTCCGAGAATCACTATTTTCTGGAACAAAGTCCCGTGATTAGTCTTCCCCGATAACTACAGGGCGGTCTTGTCCCCCTTACCTCTTTTCCAAATTGTAGGACCTCGTGTCGGCCATCTGAAATATAAAATTATATTCTATATGGCATGACAAGACTTTCGGACCCCCCTGTAAAATTTAGCTCTTCATGACTAGGGTCAATTTTTACCTATCTTACAGATAATCTGTATTTCCTCCTCTTACATCCATACAAGAACCACTACATTTAGTGATTCTTGAGCCTTGCATATGGTAAAAATAAATAAATAAATTTATAGTTTAAAGAAATACTTTACGAATTGTCACATTTTTATTTTTACTTTTCTTCTGGTCGGCACAGAATATATTTAATTTGCCGACCGGAAAGATTTATGGTTAGTGGTTGCTCTGTTTCAAAATGGAGCTGACCGGATGTGCGAAGTGTTTGAAAATTTCCTTTCCTTTTCTTTTTTTAATTACTGAAGAACTCGACTTGGATTTCCCTGTGAACTTTTGACTTTGGCTAAATAGATGGACAGATAAACAGAACCCCTAAACCATATGGGTCTGAAGAAGCAATTTTGATTTCCCAAAGGACCCTTGCCTCTTTACCCGCTGTTCATTTTAAAGTATTTGATGTCTTAGTGGAAAAAGAAGAATGGAGACTCCCCGTCATCTGTGGAGCTGGTAACCCGTCCGTCCGTATTTACAAATCAGTCACTTACTCGTCTCCGTCAACAAATGACCTCACTCTGGGGAAAAACGTTATTTTCTCAGTTTTCTTAAAGCCGACTTGACTTGACCTCTACGTCAGCTTATCTACCTGACCTGACTAGACGCCAAGTCATTCAAAGTTGGCTTATCGGTCAGACCTGAGTAGAGAGGAAAAGGGTGTAATTTATTTATGATAGTATCAGGCTTCTTAGAGCAATCTTTTCTCGCCGGTAAATATTTTCAGCACTTATGCTCGCCATTGCGGAAGTACAGTTCAGCGATTTTAGTGATACTGTTCCGGTTTGGGCTTGGGTTTTTCTGTTATGCCCTAAATAATTTCTTAAAGACAAAGAATGACTTGACGCATAAAGATAAAAGGGTAGTCTTTTAGAATAGACATTGTGACTAGAAATGGGCTTTATATATAAAGAAATATTTCTCCTTCCGATGATGGCCATTTCGATCGAAACTAGTCGAGGAATCTAAATGGAATAATAATAAAAAAAACGAAAGAATATTAATCTAAACCCAGTGTGTCTAAAATTTTAATTTTTAATTTTTTTATTTTCAAATATTATTATATATAATATATATATATATATATATATATATATATATATATATATTTTTTCCTACATCATAAAATTCTCACACTACGGAAGTATCTCGCCCTCACCCCCAAAAAAGAAAAAATGCTCATATTTACCGTTTCTAAGCAACTGGAAAATAGCATTTAATTATTCATTTTTTTTTTAAATCGTTTTTCATATTAATTTGCTATCGATTAAGCACTCAAGATTACTAATAAAAAATAAAGAAATAGATTTTTCGATTTTAAAAGAGTTATGTGGCACGTGAGCTGGTGCAGCCGTCTTGTACCCGCTGTATGTATGATACAACCCCCTAATCTATGATAAGGGGCCACCCACACTAATAAATCTCATTTTTCATATGGTTGTACAGTGTAACCCGGATATAAGAGAGTTGTCGGGACCGGAGAAGAAGTCTCTTATATCCGGGTTTAGTCTAATTTATATGCATTAACACAGGCTCTAATTTGGGACCAGAGAAAATCTCTCTTATATCCAGGTTTCTGTTATATCCGGGTCTCTTATATCCGGGTTACACTGTATCCATATAAAAATACAAAATTTTATTGTAGTCTACTTATGTACAAAAATGGATTATGTGTAATTACAGGTGAACAATTCAATTAGAAAAAAATACAATGTATCTAAATAGTAATTAAAGAAATGCCATAATAAATCATTCTATCTTAAATAAATCAATAATTTGCGACAATTTTTAACATCAACTTGGGAATGTTCTTGTTAAAAACAAAAAGAATTTTAACGCATTCAACATTATGGAGAAGAGATAGTAAATTTTGTATTATATAGTGTTTGTAAAAGACTTCACATGAATAAAATAGCGCCCAAAAATTCTAAACTATTTCATCTTGTAACAGTCAGTTGTTAGTTATGCATAGTTAACTGTTTACTAATCTTCTCACTAGAGAATTAGTAGATGCTCTAAATAAATGTACAATGGATTATAATTCAATGTTATCAATGACACTGAACTTCTTACTAATTCCTACCAATGTGACGACTACTGTAACATCTCTTCCTCCGCTAATTTTTTTATTAACAATTAACAATTAACTGTTATTTCTACTAATTACAATAGCACTAATGCAATATACTAAAGGAAGAGTTGGACTAATTTTTAAAAGTGTACAAGGATCAATGATAATATAATTAGTAATTAATGAAAAGTGTGGATCATATCAGTTTTCTATATTATCGATAAAAAAGTCAGTAATCAGTGTTACGACCGCAACATCGACAAGAGCACCACTAACACTAATACGACTACGAATAATAATAATAGTTAAGTGATGAGCGCTATTTAAGAAGAGATAAAGAGAAGAAAAAACAATGTTTGACAATGTTAAACAATATTTCAACAGAATGTGTCTTCTTAAGTTATATTTAAACATTTTTTTCATGTATAAAAAATACAAATCTACAATAGTACATGCCTTTGTACAAACGTTGCTTGTAATGAAAAATGGCTGGACTGGTAATGAACACGTTAAAACGAATTAAACGCTGCCCATGTGAAGACTGAATTGTACTTAACACTTTCACTGCTACTCATTTGCCCAGTGCTGCCCCCATCCGACCAGCCATTTTGAAAGAAAATGCCAAATTTCAACCTACATATTTTATTACACAGAAAACTGGCACCAGTGTGTTTTACAGCCTTCCATTTTCATGGATATACCTGGGTATGACTTACCAGATCAGTAATGGGTATACACATGATATCTTTTGAAGCATTGTCTTTTGTGATTTTATGATAGATGGCGCAACGGGACACTCATACCAGCGGTATGCAAAAAATCGTAGGTTTCCGTACTTAGCCAGCTGGAGCAAGATAAGAAAAACGAAGATCTCCGTAGTTAGCAGAGGAAGTGTTAATATGATGGTGATCTTGTTTATCTTGAAATTTTCCGTTAGTTGATTAGTGACTAAGAGGTCTTAATCAAACAGCTTAGAATAAATCTTATGGAACTGTCCTGCCATTCTGTTCATTTCCCCAGGCCGAGAAGTTAATAATTTGCTTACGTAATCATCCTCATGCGTTTTAAGGGTCGACAACTCGGTAAAGTCTAAATATATTTTTTCAGAATGTGCACCTTAATATTCTTGTCGAAATTACAGTCGTTTGTAATAAGATGTTCTGCAAGCTACGTTGATGTCACAATATTGTCCTGGAATCATACCTCTGTCCATTGAATCTTTTATTTAATTTTTCCTTTGTGCAACCCACATAAATCAAATCATTGGTACATTGGGCGGTGTATATTAAATGGGAATCAGTACAATTACCATTATCTGTAGAAATAATAATAATAATAATAATAATAATTGTTGTTATTATGATGTTTTATCACAGTGTACGTTTTTTAATATAGCGAGTATATTAAGTTATCTGTCAAGTCACAACAAGTACGTTAGATAGACAACACATGCGCAGTGCCCCTAAGAGCAGATTTTTGGATGATTCCAAGTTGTTACGGTATCTCCAGCTGGTCAAGGTAGTCGAACAGTTTTGATTGGATTGATCCCAGTGCGCTAGTCACTAGTGGAATCACCTTAACATTCCCTTCACGCATTCCAACCAATCTTACCATAGCAATTTTCAAGTGGTTTTTAATTTTCTCAACCACATTGTTTGGTATATTTGTGTCCTTTGGTAGAACAACATCGATAATATGACAGTTCTTGGTGCCATTATCTGGTACAATAATATCCGAACGGCGATGGTGGATCACACTCTCTGTCTGAAAATCATAGTCCCAGAATATTGTGGGCTTTCAAAATGTTCAATTGTTCTGCTAGTCACATGATCTTATCAATTTTCTGCAACTTTGCTTCCATACTTTTGGTACAATAATCAATGTACATGAAGACATAACTTATGGCACCTCTCATATTCCTTTTGAATTAGCATTTTGCAACCACTGATCAGATGAACCACATTCTCAGAGAGATCACCAAGAAATGTACATTTAGTAATAATTTATTATTATTATTATTATTATTATTATTATTATATTTCGATTTCCGCTATGGTCACAAGTCTGCAGGAAGACCTAAGGCAGGTAGTGGTATGTTGTTATGGCTACATTTCATGATTTGTTTTGCTAACTCCAATAACATCACTAGCGTTATATGGACAAAATTCTTCTTAGTGTGGGGGCTGTACTTATAAAGACAATTTTTGTATTTCTCTTAAGATGGGATTTTTATCAATGTGGTGTTGTGTTCCTTTTTTATCATTCCAAGCACACCTACTATGTCTGGTTCTATTTTTGTTTTCAATTTCCATATTTTTTCTATTTCGATTTCCAGGCATTTATAATTCGATATACTTTCAAATTCCTTGGTTGCTATATTACAGTCGGATGTCAAGATATATCAATTAGTAGGCAAAATTTTTCTTTTCTGTTTTTGACTATTATGTCCGGCCTATTTGCCTCAATCTTCCGGTCTGTAAAGATGGTGTGATCCCATAAAATTGTGATGTCTTCTGTTTCTGTAACCGGTGGTGGGTGATGTTCATATCAATGTTTGTTAACATCTTTTCCAAAGTGTTTGCACATTGCCCAGTGTAAATATTACCCCATTCTATCCTGACGAATTTTATATTCATTTGGCACAAATACACAACATTCGCAGATTAGACGGCCTATGGTGTTCTCATATTTGTCACATAACCTGCATTTTGGATCCGTATTATTATGCATGATATTTGCCTGAAAGTTCTTAGTGAAAAACTCTACTCTTGCTCTGCAAGAATAAAGCTTATTATTGTTGTTAATATTATTATTATTATTTCCTATAATTTCTGTGTATGCTCATTTCCTTCCAGGTTCCAACCAGAGACCTAAGGTCTGAATTGGCATCATAACATTTTCCATTGATCAATTGAAAAAACGACCTATGTTCACATATATTTTAAGTAGATAACGCTATTCGTAATGTGTGGACTGTACTTGTTTCATTTCTTCAAGGCATGGATTACCAGGGATCCCTTCAGTGAGTCTGTTGGAAACCTTTTCCAATCACGCCGTGGTTTCCAACCACAATTGAAAATACTGATGTCCTCATGTGCCACACTTTTTGAGATTTTCACTTCAGGATCCTTGTATATTGATAGTTTTTTGTTATTTTTTTTTAAATTTCTTCCATGGGTTATTTAATGCTGAAATCTAAATCTTTTTATGTGATATTTTTCTTAAGATAATAACAGTTTTAGTGAGATTTTTACTAACTGACCCATAGTTTGTTTTTTTTTTTGGCGGGGGGGGGGAATGTATTTGCGCGTAACTGAATATAACGAACCCAGCTCTCGAATGAACACTTCCCAGGTATCATCCATGACTCTACCCGCACGTCCAAGTTTACAGCACCAGCTTTTTTCAAGCGGTCACCAATCTATGTAATGGCCAGGCTCAAAGTTGCTTCGGTTATCATATGGGATCCGGTGTTTCAACATGATGTGGCCGTAA